TGCCATGTGCTTAGGGGAGAGTGAAAACAATTTGCCAAAGGCAGCACGTGCGCGTGTGATTTGTGTGTGTTAGCCAAGATGACACCCATTTTGGACAGTCAGTCAGCTGTGGCCCTCCTTCTGCTGCTCCTGCTGTGTGTAACTTTATATCACCTCAATGTTCGTTGCCACTTTTCCACACAATGAAAATGCTATCTGCCTCTCTTGGCCTGAAAAAGAGCTGTCCAATGTAGGCCAAAACTTCATCGTAGTTTGCTCCTTCTGTGGAATCTTAATGGGTTTGTTGCAGCCGCATGTCCCAGCAATTTATCCTCGGTTAAATGACAGCAGAATAAGTGCCCGTCGCCAAAGTTGTGCCTTTCTTTTATTGTATATTGATAATAATGACGGCCCTCAAAAAATAAGTAATTTCCCCATTAATTTTTATCTCACAAGGGCAGCTGTTGGTCATTTCTTATTGAAAATGAATAAAAATCCGAAATTTACCAGCTGTCGGTGATGAAATTCTCACAAGAAATTGAGTTTTACGCTTGAGGACTAAGAAGTTCGTACTTTTTAATTGGACAGGGAATTCGAAATGTTATGTAAAAGTAACGTTTGACCAGCACTGAAAACGTTTTTAGTACTTATTTAAACCAAGGACTATAACAGTTATCTTTTTAAAACAAGAGGGAACGTTTTAGTCGATGCCATCGACTATCAAATACCTGTTCTTAAGCTAAGAAGAGCGCGAGAGAGATGGAGATATGCAAGCAGCAAATCGACTGTAGCCAAGATCGCGCACTTCATTTGTTTATAACTTTTTAGTGAAGGGATCGATTTGAAAAATGTTTGGCACTTAGATTGACATTCAAAATAAAAACAAAAGCCCATTTACTTTTTTCTAAAATCCTTAAAAAATTCCACAAGTGAAGTACAGTTTGTCTCGTGGCTCCTAAGGTGTTTAAAAACTGTTAAAAAGTTTATTTAAAGGGTTTAACGACTAAAGGGTATGTTAAATGTAAATATAGCTCCCGGATTTGTTAACCCTTTAACGAAATACATTTAGCACATAATAAGCCCACATAGATATCTTCTTTCTTAAAGAGCAGACATAGAAGTCACCACAAAAAACGAATTGAAATGTTTCGTATAGATATGCACACGCCCCATCCAAATTATTAACATGTGAATAAGTTTACAAAGCTGTTGTGTGTAGCGAATTGTAAAGCAGCCAAAGATATACACAGCAAAAATATTAATACAGCTGCAAAAGAGGTCGCTTGAGTTGAATGGGGATAAGCCAAACATCTGGTTTTTTGCACAGGTGGAGGTGGCAGTATCTTTCCTTCCTCTGCTCACTGGAAAATCCAAAGAGGCTGGCAAACGTCAAATATTGGCTGAGCTGTGATTAATGTTTATTCTTTTTTGGATCCTTGCATAACATTTCGTCTGAGGGGCAGCAGCAATTCACCTGTAAGTAAATGCCGAGGAACAACAAATAAATCAAGAAAACGGGAAAGAAAAAGCGGAAGGAAAACTAATTTTCCGCTGCTTGACAAAAAAAATGTATATGTTTGTATTTCCTTCTGCTGGGCAAATTAATTAAACTGATTAAACGTTAAACAATTTGTCCGCGCCATAAAACGAAGCCCAAACAACAAAACCAAAATAAAGTCCAGTTTCCCCGCAATTCCCTTTATTTTCCGAGGTGCAATTAGCAGGCAACGGCTTAGAGTGGAAAATTGATATAGAGCAGCACAGGGGACTCCAAGGGGTGTAATACCAGTAAATGCTCCGTGTACGATGGCTGGTCACGTTGTGTCAATAGACTTCCGAAATGCACTTCGATGCCAAATTGTTGCAATTGTTTTAACAATCTGCTGCGTTACCCGAGCATCCGATGCCTCTGACTGTCTGCTTCCCTTGGACACGAATGACAAAACTTTTTCGAACTTTGGCACAATTTATTGGTGGCCAAAGAAACAGTGGCCCAAAAACCAATAACAAGAGGTTTTTTATACATGGAGAAAAAAATCTTTATAATAAAAATAATTAGTTGTTTAAATTTATGCAAATTAAAAAGATGGTAATAATTAATTAATAAAGACATTATTTAATAGAAATAATATTTTGTGTTACTGATAAATTTTACAGTTTTAATAAAAATTTAGAGTTTCTATAGTATATAAAAGCAAAGCAAACTTCGCTCAGGCTGCTAATAATAATTAACGGTTTCCTTTGAATTTGGCCTTCGTAAATTAACTAAAAACCGTAACTGTGTCAGACTCACTCTCCAAATCATTTATACTGTCAAGGAATGTAATACTGCTAAAATGATTGCTTCTTTTATTTTCAAAATGGACACCATTCAGTTCCACATTGTATATATATGACCAGTTGGCCAAAAAATCGACGTCATTTTGCTTAATAAATTGATTTGTCCATTATGAAGAAATGAAACAAGGAAAAAATATCAATAAGGAAGAACGCTATAGTCGAGCGTCTCGACCATCATATTCCCATAACTCAGCTTTAGGGAGCAAAAGGGAAATGGAATATACAAGCAGCAAAGAGCGATTGTAAAGCGCCACCTATAGCGGATTTCAATATATGTTAATGTGTGCAATAGACAGATTTAAACATTATGGGCTTTTGTGTAGGCTTGAGTGGGCGTTGCAAACTTATGTTTAGGGCAATCAATAGGTATTGACGAGACCAATATATTTCAGATAAAATTTTTTCTAGCACTAAAACTGTACGAGCTATAGTTTTTGGCGATTTGTGGGCGCTAGAGTTGGCGTGGCACATTAGCGTAACAAACCTGCGCTGAAATCTGAATTCTCATCCCCCTAGCTCTTAAAGTTTCCGAGATCAAAGTGTTCACGATCACTAGATCGACTCGACTCTCTTCCTTCTACGTGTTACATACTCTTCCCCGAATAAAATGCTCTAAAAACTCTACGAGTAACGGGTACAAAAATGTGAAAAATCATTGGAAACCTTTAAGCCTCGAAGCCTTCTGTTAAAAATTGTCTCTCTGATTGCTTCCGGCGCTAATAATGCTGTTTCCCTTGTTGTTGCATTTGAAATTCAATTTTGTACAAAATTGTATGTGTCCAAGCCCCGACACGAATTTTTTCAAACGGTTTTCAATTTATTACGTCTGTAAAAATAATGATGCAGCCAAACGACCATACAACCGGCAGCTGCCCTGCCAGGCTCAAACTGAAATCAAGTCTAAACAGATGGAGGAACGCTAACCAAATGCCGGCCTAGAAAAAAGGTCAAAAGGTACAAAAGCCAACTTATAACTAGGTCTCTGCCGGCAATTGACTAAACAGAGTCTCCTCTCCCCCTCAGAACTGCCCCTTATCAATGCCAATGGAAAATCGAATTTTTCCAACCAACCCCCAACAAGGACCCTTTATGCTTGGGCACGACGATGATTGTTATGGAGGGGCACGAAAAGGAGACGAAAATATATTGGAGTCGGACAGAATTATTGATTAAAGTCTGATGTCTGCTCTAATGCTCTGATTAAACGTGATTGAATTGTCAACGGTCATGTTGCAAGTTTATTTGTGCGCCATCTGACTTGGAGCGTATATTAGTTAATTTGGAAAATCATAAGCAAATCGTCTGAAATTTGCCATATATGTACACGATTCAGTAACGTCGAATCGTTTTCATTTCCTTACAATACCACTCTAAAAGATTCAAAGTGTTTTAAGCTATAACTTAAATGGTTTTTGTTGTTACGTATTTATCATTTAGGGTTCCTCTGGTCTTGGATAGTATAGCGACTTAAAGATTTGGTGTAAAATTTTACTTATAAGGGTTATATTTCTTCAGCTCATTTAAAGTTGATGTATTTGTTTTTAAAGGTATTAAAGGAAAAGTCATAGAAAAGTTCAAAATATAAATTACATCTTTTAAAAAAGGGATCATCAAAACGTAGACACATAAATGTAAAAGAAAAAATGCATTTGGTGTTAACATACTACAAATTCAACGCGCTATTTATCCGAGTTTTAAAAGTCTGTTACTATATCATCACTTGTTTTAAAAAACTTTAATTTCTTTTTAAAATTGTTATGTCCATATCAACCAAACACACCTCTTAATGGGGTAATAGTGACGTTCGCACCTTCAACAAACCAAAGTTTTGATATTAACTTTTGCGAAGAAATATGTGTTCACAAAATAAACACACTATCAAAAATGTTCTCATTCGGCCTGCTTCAGCAAATATTAGGGCTTCTACCAACACGAGCCTTTTCTATTAACCATGATATTACATGAGAGAAAATAAACACAGTGTCTAAAAATTACTTATTCGACACACTAGTTCGCACTTTCTTATTTATATTTCGATATTAATGCAACTTTGAAGTCAAGTCATTGGGTTAAAGAAGGTGTCGGCAGAAGATCCCTGGGAATGCCTATCAAGGCAACTTTGAAAAATGTTGATTTCAAGGCAGCAGATGGAACCGTAGAGGGAGTAATTTGACTCAATTATCGAAGAACATAATTTGCAGTATATTCTTAAATCCATAAGGCCCTTTACATTTGCAGTGCCGTCTAAGTCTCCACACCTACTAAATTCGCATATGGAAAGTACAACCCGGTTTTCATTGCCTTCTTCCAAGTAGGAATTTCCCTTCCTGTCTTCCCATTCCTTACAATACTTTAATTGCTTGTGGATTTAATTTGTTTCACTTTAACAAACAAGGCAGCTGAGCACTAGAGTTCGTGTTTTGATTTTCATTTGCAGCCCACAGAGAGAAAAGGTTTTAAAGTGTGGAACTGGAATAAGTAGGTATGGGAGGGCAAAGAGCCAACAACAGAGTAAACACAATGGGAATCTAGGGTTGAAGGCAGTGGAGAGTTATGTTAATAGAGCTGCTAGCAGTCGGAAGCTTGCGGTTGTTCATTTATACCACTTCAAAGCAAGAAACTGGGCAGAAAATCTTTAGTAATTAGTTCTTAGTAACATTATACCTATCTCGTGTTCACAGATCTCCAGCAATTTTCTTCCATCACTAGAAGCAATTTCCCTGGCCGTGCAAAGCATTTCCACCAAGTTGAACTGGTCACAAGTTGACATCTATGTCGGCGGTAAGTAAATACCACTTTCACCCTACTTTAACCTCTTTTTTTTAGACCAGTATAAGTCTAATCACCCTTTTTGTATTAAATTTATCACCAGTTGCTCTGCGCTTTGCAAACCAAGTTATTTATAACTTGCTATGGCAACACTTTTCTTGATGCAAATTACTAAAATAAGCCAAAAAAACAATGGCAAACGCACCTTTTTAAAAATATTATAACAAACAAATAAAATTAGTCAATCATCGTGTGAAATGACTAATCTCTGGTAAATGAGTACATGAAATATACATCTCTTTTATGTCTCTAATTACTTAAATATACTGCTCTTTAACGTTCTGAGTCGGAAGCGAATGCTGGTTGCCTAAATGTTAAATAAAAAAATATTTGCCGTTGAGCTCAGACAGCGGTAGGGGAACTCGACCCATTTAAAGCCAAATGTGGGGTCATCCGGAATTAGAAGGGAACGAGACGAAGAATGTGGGCGAGGGGTAGGTGCTTGTCGCTGGCTGTTTGTAACTCTAAGTACACGTGTGCGTATACGCAATGCAATTAGTGGTGACATTATTATGATTAACGCTGGGTGGGTTGCCTGCTGAGTGTTTGCACAAACGCTGACAGGCACAGAAAGATAGCGCGGTAAAGTGGATATGTTGGTTATATGGAAGGACTAGAAAGGGCAACAGAGCCCCATTAAGTTGACTCTGCATTTGAAATTTAACTCGGAAACCGCCGCCAATAAGGCGAAACCCCGCCAGTGACGTCATGTCTTAATTTCTCGCATGTTGCCTAATTAGTTAAGCAAATACCAGTTAGGAGCCGCCGGCAATCAATTTTAAATTAATCGAGCACAGAATGATCTGCTGAAAACTATTTGGTCTTGACTAAAACGTTAATATATAGTTTACAACACTGAATAGCCTATTAAGTTACTAAAAAATATCCAAAAATTTCAATCATTTTTAGGTAATAATTTACCTAATTTTTTGCCTAAAATGTTTAATTTTGTGATATAATTTTTTGTGTATAAGGTAAGACAGGTCAAGGAAGGTAGCTCGCTTTATTGGTTATAATTCCTAAAATGTAAGGTAATTTGGGCACTTTTTAGGTAATTCTATTTTCTGAGAGTAGACGCATTCATATTTTTCAGCACAGAGTCTCTTATAGAAAAGGCAGAAAGAAAAGGCAAAATATGAAGAAAGGTAATAAAAGCACAAACTCAAAAGCTAACAAAAATATCAACTTAGTAATCGCTTGTCATCACATCTTTTAATAACTTAAAATAAACATTTTGTAAGTAAATAATAAATTTTTAAAGAAGTACAATGTAAAATTCCTCCTAAGATTTTATAATTGCAAATTTTATCTTTTGGAAAAGGCTTCTCTTTTGTAATCTATAAGTCCAATTCTACTTCATCCTTCTTGGGGTATTTTCAAAATATTATATTGTAAACTAAAGCACATAAGGGAATAGACGCTAGGTGGCGGGCTGGTGTGGTAAGCAGTCTGGGAAACAACCAATCTGCTGCACACATATCTCCACCGCTCGAACTCCCTTTAGCGGAGTAACTGGTATCTAATAATCGAAGCGTTTTCTCTTATTTTATGTATTAATTACTATGTTACAGTGATGAATCTAATTAAGTTTATTAATTCTTATTTATTAACTGTAATAAATTTCACTAACCATGTTTTATGGGTGGCTAAATAAACAAAATAATTATTTAACTACAATCGATGGTTTGGGACCATTCTACATTCTACATTCTAAAGTTACATAACTATAGTTATAAATATATTTATACAGTAACCCTTACGTTAATATATTACGTAAAGTAACTATTTAATGGATCAAATCGCCAATGCGATGGAATGGGCTTACTGAACTATTATATAAGTCAGTTTTATTATTGTTTTTTAAAAAGATTGTTAAGGATTATGTAGAAATAGGACGGAATCATATTCATGACTTTAGGAAAGGTATTTTAAAGAATTACTGATATTTATATGACATTTTAATAAAGCTGTGATGCTATACGATTGGGTATCTGTAGGACGTGACCCTGTCAAGTTCACACAGAGGAGCCCCACATCTGAAAATACGTTATGGGAGGTGAAGGAACGATGTGACCTTTAGTACCGGTGTCTTGCAAAATTGGAAAAGCAAGATTTATACCAGTGGCGGTTCTAGAATTTTGTTTTACAAAACTTGTTGAGTGGAAAAAAAGATCAATACCCTGTAATACACCCCCACGTGGACTAAAACAATTTTGATGAAGTGTGCTGCAACATCTCTGCTTATAAAAACCCCATTAACCAAGGATCCTGCAGGACACACTCATCAGCGTTAAAACTGCTTAACAATTAACATGATGGGCCGGAAGGGCCGGCCTTTTTTGGGTAACGCCCATCAACATTTGGTTTTATGACGACATAATTAGTAAGAGCTGCTTTCGTGTCTTGTTTACGGTTTGCTTTACCCTAATTGACAGCTTATGGTGGACCATAAAAAGTGACCCACGGCAAGCCATTTGCCTGCGTTTTATTCGGCCAGCATTTGCCCTGATTGGTTTGACTTTCACTTTGACTTTGTCCTGAAAGCTGAAGTAAACATGCAATTTTCATTTCATCTTATCTTCGTGCGATCTTTGTACGTTTGGCGAATCAAACTGATGACGAAAGCGGCGACAACAAGAAAAATCCAATCAATGGACCATGCTGAGCACGGCTGTAGTTTTCTGCTCGAAGATTGTATCGACTGCATTATGTAAATTGTGTATAATAATAAAAGCAATTTGCAACTTTAATTGCGTTTCGATGGACTGCACCAACTTTTTCACCCCCCACCCCAATTAACAATGAAAACTGTTAAAAGTAATAAAACTACAAAGTATGCTGCAAGTTTTCATCAACCACAAAACCCCACGCACGAATGTTAACTTAATTATAAGTTCTGAGTTCGAAGTTCTTATGGGCCTAATGCTGTGCTGCTAACAATCGAAAATGTCCAATTGTATATAAAGAATGCTCTGCCCCTATCCCCCGTCTTTTGGGAAACCTTGCTGAGTAAATTATAGCTTAAATTGTATACCCATTACCCGTATAGTGAAAGGGTGTATTGTAATCGTCGAAAAGTATGTATTAGGTAGAATGAAGCTATTCCCACCCTATAAAGTGTATATATCATTGATCAAGATCTCAAGGCGAGTCGATCTAGTCATGTCCGCACAGAAAAAAAAATTGATATGATATGATGGTCAATTTGATGAAATCCAGTATCAATTCGGCCTAGATACGGCACATATCAATTTGATATGTTCGAAATTGTAAAAACGATATTTCGGTAATATCATTTTTACATTATAGCGTATCAATTTTTTGAAATGTTTTGGTTGTAAATTTGATATTATTGTAAATTTGATATTGTAATTTCAAAGGTACATTGTAGTATAATGGATATTAAAAATATCAAATTGATATTATTGTAAATTTGATATTATAATTTCAAATCTACATTGTAGTAGATTGGATATTAAAAATACCAAAATGATATTATTGTAAATTTGATATTATAATGTCAAACACAAATTTAAATAAATAATAATATGCCAAATCTTTTTGATTATACGTTTTTATTACCTATTACAGTTTTTACAAAGAATTTGTATTTCATATTTTCACCTCTTTTATATTTACATTGAGTCTTTATTTTTGTACTTAAATATATATTTCATATCTACACTTTTTTTTATATTTACGTTGAATCTTTATTTTTGTACTTATATATACTTATTAACTAAAATTTCTTTATTCTTATTAGCTTATTACTAGAGTTTATGTACAAATGAATCGGCGGGCCCTCAAAGTTTTCTATATTATCAATCTTATAATTTTCCAATTCAGCACCCACCACATAAGCTTGATAATGCTCGCTAAAATTGGAAACTTCAATTAACTGGGTAATAACAAAAATTGTTTTTCAAAAAATTTCCAGAATATCCTGAATCCCGCACTGCTCTCTTTTTGGGAATATATGCAGCAAGTCGCTATCGTTTATATATTTGAGCCTTTGGAAAGTAAAACAACAATCTGAAAACCAAAATTGTAAATTAATACACTATATTTGTTTTATATTTACCAATAAGACAGTCGTAACAGGACATTGGTAGGTCCTGATCAGTCAAGAAACTTAATAGTCCTTCCTTTTCAGACTCCGTCATTTTTTCTAAAAAAAAAAGGGCCAATATTTACATTTGTGTGTACGTGTTTGAGCGCAAAAACACTGTAAATTTTTATTCATACGAATGAATGTGCGTGTGAGAAACTAAAAATGCGCAAGTGAAACTAACTAAATTTTCGCTAAATCAAGACACACATTGTCATACACACATAGTTACGCGTGCACATACATATGTATGTATGGACAGATGCACGTACTTTTCATTGCCGTAAGAATGAATGTGCGTGTGAGAAGCAAAAAAATGCACAAGTGAAATTAAATAAACTCTCGATATATAAATTTCACTTATGCATTTTTTTAAACTACCCACACGCACATTCTTACGACAATGAAAAGCACGTGCATCTGTCCATACATACATATGTATGTGCATGCGTAACTATGTGTGTATGACAATGTGTGTCTTGATTTAGCATTTTTAGTTTCTCACACGCACATTCATTCTTACGGCAATGAAAAGTACGTGCATCTGTCCATACATACATAAGTGTGTATGAGAAGCGACTTTGCAGGACGGCGTAGAAATAAAAATTAATTTTTAAATGCAATTATGTTATGTTACTTGTTAAATTTGTTTTCACGCCGGCGCAGCCTCTACATATACGCACGCTTACATACGTACGTATGTATGTATGTACACACATAGTTGCACGTGTTTTTCTTGTCGTAGGGCAGTCGTATAGTAAAAGCCACTCAGAAAACCGCACACGATTTTATTTTTTTCCACTTATTATGTTCTTATAACACTTTATACGTATACACATTATATATGAAGTTTACTTACCTGTTTTTTTCAACTTGGAGAAACACTACACTGACCATGCACGTCCGACCTGCATCAAAATAAAATTCAAGTGGCAAAAAATCCACTAAAACGCATCCTAGTGCAAGCGAGACAACATGTTCGAATTAGCCCAATTCGAATTTCGAATATATCCTTTTCGCTTCCACTCACGTGATTGATGTCGCCATATTGCTACATCCTCTCTTTTTCGATGTCAAGAAATTTCCGAAAAGAGAGAAATCGACAATTTGACATTTTTTGGTATCAATTTGACATTATTTGATGGTAAAAATGATATGTGTCTAAAAAACACAAATTTACCATGCGCATATCAAATTGATCCTGGCTCGGTTTTTTTTCTGTGCGTCTTTCCGTCTGTCCGTATGAACGCTGAGATCTCTGAATCTATAAGAGCTACAATACTGGGATTAGGCATGCAGATTCCTGAGATTCCTGCGCAGCGCAAGTTTGCTTCAGCAAAGTGCCACGCCCACTCTAACGCCCACAAACCGCCCAAAACTGTGGATCCTACAGTTTTGATGCTAGAATAAAAATTGTAACTGAAATGTATTGTTATCATCAATACCTATCGATTGACCCAAAAAAATGTTTACCACGCCCACTTTAACGCCCACAAACTTAAAAAAAATCGTTAATATGAACGCGGATATCTCGGAAACTATCAATGATCGAGAATTGGGATTTCAGATTTAGATTCCGTAGCCATGTACTCAGTGCAAGTTTGTTACGCAAATATGACACGCCCACTCTAACGCCCACAAGCCGCCGAAACCTGTGCGACCACAATTTTCATGCTAGATACAAAATTATAACTGAAAATCCAAAGAAAAGATTGCCACGCCCACAAACCTAAGCCAGTGGCGCCCACAATTCTCATGCTAGAAAAAAATGTTAACTGAAATTTATTTGTTTGTGCCTAACCGAAGTAGACACACTCAAAAAAAAATCACCATAAATATTAGAAAATCGCCCGTGATTTTAAAACGCCATTGAATTAAGAAATATTTCTTGATTATAAAAAAAATGACTACAATTTAAGGAATTCGCCATAATTTTTTTTTTTTTTGTAATGAAGAAGAGGAAGAATAGCATTTTTTTCTTGAACTAATGGCGTATTTTTCTTGATTTTTTTTCTTGAAATAATGGTTAATTCTTACTTAAATTTAGGAAAGAAATACCCATATTTTAAGAGAAAGTGACTTTTTTTTATACATTTTGATGGTGGTCTAGCTGGTAAAGACGTCCGGTCAATAAACAATCGAACAAAAGTACCTGGTTCGAGCCCACGCCACGGCAAGTGTACCCTTTGTTTATTTATTTTTTTTTTTAATTTATGTAATTTTTATTTTTATTAGTTTCACTTTTCTATTTACCAAATTGTTTAAACGGTTGTTAAAAAGGTTTAGATTAGAATAAACGTTATTTGTATGCGTAAAGCTTGACCAAAAACACCTTAGCCCTCTTTAGTCATTGTATGACAAGAAGCACGCGTGGCCGAATGGTTAAGACGTCTGGCTATGGTGTGAGCAGTTCCGGGTTCGAGTTCACGCCGGGGTTGTCTGAGGTAAGGATTTTTCCATTTGTTATATTTATTTATATGTTTATAAAAAGTATTTATATAAAATAATTCTTTAATAAATTCTCAGGTAAATATAATAATTTTCAGACTGTATTCCCATGTAATAATTGCCATTAAAATTAGAAACGGTTTTATCCATTTAAACTTCAAAATTAAAGTTTAAGTAAAGTGTAACATGTAAAATGTAAAATGTAATGTAATCTTACATTATAAATATTTTTTTTCTTATTTTAATAAATTGTTCCTTAATTTTAAGGTTTTTAACCATACATTTAAGAAAAATTTGTCATTATTTCCAGAAATGGCAAACCATAAATTCAAGAAAATTATTTATTTAAAATAAAGGTGAGTCGCCGTTGGATGAAAATCATAGGCGATTTTCTTGATTTAAAGGCGAATTTCTTGACTTAAGGGCGATTTTTTTTTTGGGTGCACTCGCAAGACGATCGCGTCGCAGCAATGGTAGCGATGGTTACTGCGATGCCGGACCACAGGCGATGCGAGAACTACGCTGAGGTTGAGCTAGCGTAGGTTAGCTGCTAGTTGAGTGAGTGTATTACAAGCCCTATTCCCAGAGATAGGAAGTAGAACCGCGGAGTTATAAGTTGCGTTGATAACTGATTTATTCTTAAATTGATACCTGTTTATATACTACTTGGAACACGAAAGTTCAGTGTAATGATTAGTGAAATAAGCTATACTCTAGAGTCGGTCAGGGAATTTAAGTGAGACATATAATGTGCTGATCAGAAACTCTCATCTGCATTGGGCGCTACTGAGCGCCTAATACTGATCCCAACGTGGCTTCTGCTTAATTTGTTGGGTGCTGGTCATGTTGAGCACCCTTGGGAACGAACAATATTAGTCTCGTCAATACCTATCGATTGACCCGAAAAAAGTAAATCTGTCTACCGCCCACATTACTTTATACTGAGATCGTAGCGCATTTCAATCTTTGCTTCGCTTTGCTGCTTTCATATCTCTATTTCCCTTTGGTCTCTTTAGCTGAATATCGGGTATCTGATAGTCGAGGTACTCGACTATAGCTTTCTTCCTTGTTAATGTTAATAAACTTGCGCTGCGTACGAAGCTTAGAAATCTAAATCTAAAATCTCAACTATCTAGCTTTTATAGTTTTCGATGGCGTTTATACGTACGGACAGACAGACGGACATGGCTAGATCGACTCGGCTAGTGATGCTGATCTAGAATATATATACTCTATGAGGTCGGAAACGCTATAAGCTTCCATTTGATGTAACTCATTAACTTCTGGCACTTATCAAAATCCAACTAGAAAGGTACAAAATGTCCTTATTATCAACCAGAAAAAGTATGCTTACAAAAGCAAGAAATGACACTTAACGGTATCAAAAGCTCATAGTAAAAGTACGTGACGAAGGGAAATCGCTTCGGGAAATAGGTGGCATAGCTGGCAAACCACACTCTTCTGTTAAAAGGGTCCTGGAAATCACAGTTCATCTGGTACCTGTGATTCAAAACCCCGCTCTGGTAGACGACCAAAGCGTGCGAAGCGTTTTGAAGACAATTCAAAAAAAACAAGAGCTTCCCAAATTGCAAGGATATTAAGCACAAGTTTAATAAGGCTCTTCATGAGGACACTGTATGTAAAATTCTGAAGAAAGAAGGCTGTAATAGCCGTTCTGTCAAGAAGTAACCACTCATATCAGCAGTCAACAATATTAAACGTATTGAACTCGCAGATAAATCCATAATATTCCCCGGGAGTTCTGATTTGTATCGAGGAAAGCAAGTTTTTCTTATTCGGAACAAGCTTACGGCCCCATGTGTGGCTAAAGAGTGGTGGTTGTTAAACACGATGGTTGCGGCATTATGGTTTAAGGATGTATGACGCCCAGTGGAGTTGGTAATCTTGTTTTCATTGAACCAACATCACAAAGTATTTATCAACATCCTTAAAGAAAATGTACTCCATACTGGGACTGCAGAATGACTTTTAGTTCCAACCTGACAACGACCCTAAACATTGTGAAAAACCATTGAAATTCGCCACCGTTATCCCCAGATCTCAATCACATTGAGCATTTGTGGGACCTCTTGGAGCGCTGGATCCGACTACACACCGTACATCCAAGGATATGCTTAAAAATCAATGACGAGAAATGGAATAAAATCTCGGTAGAGGATGCAACAAAATTGGTCCAGTCAATGGCAAATTTGTTAAGTAAAGTGGTAAAACGTAAAAGGTATCCCAACTTCGTATTAAATTTAATTATAATACGGATTTTTATAGGAAAAATAACTTGAACGCTTACCTTTTTGCCCGTACTCGTAAGTAAAAGTAAAATAAGAATACTTTATTCGGGGAAAATAATGTAACAGGTAAAGGAAACGTCTCCGACCCCATAAAGTATATATTCTTGACCAGGATCACAAGGCGAGTCCGTCTGTCCGACTGTTCGTGTAAACGCTGTGATGAGGTTGAGATTTGAGAACAGGCCACGCCCACTCTAACTCCCACAAACCGCTCAAAACAGTGGCGCATGCAAGGAAAAAAATTTAGCTAAAAATGTATTTGTCTCGTAAACATCTATAAATTGGCCTAAAAAAGTGTGCCACGTCCACTCGAACGCCAACAAACGTCTGTCTGCCGCCCGCATAACAATATATTAAAATCTCTCTTTTGCTCTCTTAAGCTGAGTAACGGGTATCTAATAGTCGACTTACTATGCTATATCGTTCTTTCTTGTTCTGATTGAAGATCATGACATTTTGTAAGTAACAAAAGAATGATTTCTAACTTTTTTTATACCAAAGTGGCAGAACATGTTTGTACGCACACTTTTTCTGGAATGTGTAACTGCCATTGGAACGATCGAAAAACACGAAAGGAAGTTAAATTCGGCAAGCCGAAGCTTGTATACCCTTGCAGTTAAAATTAATAAATTTAAAAATTCAAGAAATGATATTCCCAATAGTATAAGACAATATGTCAAAAAAGACGGTAGCTATAATATGTTTGATATTATTTTCCCACCAATTTTACGATTGTTCCTATGGCAGCTATATGATACAGTCGTCCGATTTTGATAAAATAAAATTCAAAATTCAGAACTAATTAAAAAGCGTTATTTCCAAGCGTAGGAGGTTGTATGTTAAAAACACCGAAGCTATAATTTGTTTCATATAATTTTCCCGATCGCTCCTATGGCAGCTATATGATATAGGCGTCCGATTTTGATAAAATTAAATACGAAATTCAAAACTATATAAAAAATGTTGTTTCCAAGCTTAGGAGGTTATATGATAAAAAACACCAAAGATATAATTTTTTTGAATTTTTTTTTCGATTATTTCTATGGAAGCTATAAGATATAGTTGTCCGATCCGGCTGGTTCCGACTTATATACTACCTGCAAAAGATATAAGGATTTTGGAAAAGTTTCAGACCGATTGCTTTAAAACTGAGAGACTAGTTTGCGTAGAAACGGACGGACAGACGGACAGACGGACATGGCTAGATTGACTCATCTAGTCATGCTGATCAAGAATATATATACTTTATGGGGTCGGTAACATCTCCTTCACTGCGTTGCAAACTTCTGACTGAAATCAATATACCCTCTGCAAGGGTATAAAAATGTCAAAATAATACAAAAGTCGTTTTATACTGTTAAATTAAGATG